TTCAAAATATTCCAAATACACAACAGAAATTATTTTTATTTTTTGTTTGTTTTTAAGAAACAGGCATGGACCATTCCTCCTCTTTGTTTCCTTTTTACATGTTCACACCCCACTCTTTACCACTGCAAAATTTCTTGGGAAGAGCCATCACGGTTTATATGGAGACAATGTAGAAGAAATGGACTGGATGGTGGGTAAGTATTCTTCATGAAGGATTTGTTTCAGACACCTGTGTATTTTAATGAATAAAGCCAAAATACTTACAGAAATCTAAGCTACTAAAACCTTCTCATAGAGCACTGCAAAAGATTATTACTAGCAAAACATTATAAATGTGGCTTGATCTTTCTAACCGGTTAACAGGAACCTTGCTGTCTCTCTTCTTAAATTGAAGGCAAAATTCTGGACTCACTTGACAAAGAAGGTTTGACAAATCATACATTCACATACTTTGCCTCTGATCATGGAGGGCACTTGGAGGCTCAGGATGGATCTGCCCAGCTAGGTGGCTGGAATGGTATTTATAAAGGTAGGAAAACCACTATGAATTTACGGGAACATAAGAATCAGAAACTTAATGAATCTGCCTGGCTGAAGCTATCAAGGCTGGAATGAGTTGCATTTTTAGCTTGAAATATATTTGACATACAGAGGTGCCTTAATCTTGAAGTCACCTTTTCTTTCAGTGATGTGGAAGCATTATTACACATCTGCTTAACAAAATTATTGTCTAGCTTGATACCTGTAAATTATTCGGTGTTCTCAAGTAAAAGACACCGGGGAAAAAAAGTGATAGTTCTCTTATTGAACTCTCAATCTCTCTCTCTCCCTGGCTTTCCCTCCTCTCTCCACAATAGGACTGTTTCCTGATTCATAAGCCTGATGGGATCTAACAAAGACAATGTTTTTTCCATATTGAATATATGAATTAAAGCAGGTTTCTGCTTTGGGAGTTAGGTAAATATTGTCTTCATACACCCAGCATCAGGATGCTTTATTGGGTTTGTTTCTGTTAGCAGCAAACTGAGAAAAGATATTTTCCTGTCATTTGAAGTAAAGCAGATATGGTATGATTTCATAGGTTCAGATTCTTTGCTTCTGAGTTAAGAGATGTTGCATTAAGCATTGGGAGAGTCAGGTCCAAATCTCTATTTCAAAAAAGGAGATGTGTAAGGCATATGGAAATATAAATGTTAAGGACACATATTTCAACGGGAATCAATGGCTATAGAGAGGAGAATTTTTTTTTAGCTGTTTATTAAAATAGGATACGAATTAGTAAGTCTTGTGTGGCTTTAAAAAGAATATCAAGTATTTCTTCAGTCTTGTCAGTTCTTCCAATTTCCAGTTCTTCCAATTTCCAGTTCCTCCTCTTTTCTTTTGCTGGGAAGCTCTTCAATAACACAGGTGAATGCAGGCAACCCATGAAATGGAGGGTAACAGAAGGTTGAAGATGTTTTATTGTTGCTGAACATAGGTTTTCAAAGGTAGATTTATTATTCCTACTCTCAGCTGTGGTCAAAGTTAAACCAGAGATTACCTCCCCCTATCTTTCTAGGTTTGGATGGGTTATATGTCATGTTTTGAGGCCTTCTAAAGTATGTGAAGTCCAGTGCAAATTAAGAGTCAAATCTGTTGGATAAGCAGTGTTTTACCACATCTTTTGCTATACATTCAAATGCACTGGACCAACAAAGAGGTTTGTGTTTGCCTCTGAACTGCCATATGTTGATTCATTTCACTGCAGGTGGAAAAGGCATGGGAGGCTGGGAAGGAGGGATCCGTGTGCCAGGAGTGTTTAGGTGGCCAGGAGTGTTACCTGCAGGCACAGTTATTGATGAACCTACGAGTCTTATGGACATTTATCCCACGGTTGTTCATCTGGCTGGAGGAATATTGCCACAGGACAGGTATGGAGAAGTTTTCAACAGGAGAGATAGATAGGAGAGCTTACTTCTAACAACTTGCTGTGTTTCTTATCCTTGGAGAATCCACAAATATTGCTTACCCTCAAGCCTCGTCTGAGATTTTGAATTGGTAGCAAACTCTTCCAGATATGCCCACAGGTGTGCTCACGGCCAGAGGAGTTGTTCCTGCCAAAGACCAAGTGCTAGTTTCAAACCCAGGTTCAGCCTCATTCAGGAAAGAATTGGTGGCTGAGGTTGTTTTGGTGCTCACTGACTTGACTTACGGACACTTAAAAATACCTCCTAAAGTCATTAAACCCATCCTTGCTCAAAAGATTTCTTTAAGCTCATTTGAAAAAATGCTAAATGTAAACCATCATGAGATTGGTATTGATTTCCTGAATAAATTACTTTTTTCCGCTAGACCAAGCTCTAAATATTGTTTATATATTGGTAAATGTAATGAGTTGACCCAGCTACTAAAAGAAAGAAAATTATCTAGGGATTTAAATATTGGTTTCGCAGTCTGCTGGCTGCTCTAAATCTATGACCAAATTATTCTGTATGCTGTCTCAAGCACTGGTGCAGCCAATGCAAAGGCAGTGATAAGTCTGCAGTTCACTGTCAGATTTGCCCCTGCCTGAATACACTTCTCCCCTATACATTAGGGTGATTGATGGACGAAACTTGATGCCTTTACTGCAAGGAAGAGCTCAGAAGTCAGAGCATGAGTTCCTGTTTCACTATTGTGGGTCCTACTTGCATGCAGTGCGGTGGCACCAAAAGGACAGTAAGTACAAGTGTTTGTTCTGTGGTAACTGCAAAACATGAGTTTTCTCCTCTTGATAGCCATCTTGCTAGTTGACAAATTCATTGTATGATGGGTGTTTGTCAGTACTGATCTCTGAGATTCTTGAAACTGTTGTGCACGACATACCAGTGGCTCTGGCTAGCTGGACATGTCTTACAGCAAAGAAATATTTGTAAGTAACAAACCTGTGGGAATTGGGGTGGGAATACAGGCTGTCTAATACTACGCTAGAACCTTAATGTGGTTTTCTTCATATTTCTAGTGTTTTCCATCTTCAAAGTCAGTACTCCACACAGAATCTGATTTGTAGTGATGGAGATGCCAGGGTGTGTGAGAAGAGGGCTCCTTAGTAATTAGCTGTACTCCTGTTCTTTGAAGGCACTTCCCATTTTCCTCTGTTGTCTTGTAGTTGCGCCATAAGATTTCTTTCCTGCCAGGTGGAGCCATCTGGAAGGTTCATTATGTGACCCCTGTCTTCCATCCACCTGGGGCTGGGGCTTGTTATGGAAAAGGAATCTGCCCATGTTTTGGGGAAGGTGTGACCCATCATGACCCTCCATTGCTGTTTGACCTCTCACGAGACCCTTCTGAAGCCAAGCCCCTGTCAGCTGACACTGAGCCCCTCTTTGATACTGTAATAAGGAAGATTGGAAGAGCCATAGAAGAGCATCGCAGGACGCTGACTCCAGTCCCAGAGCAGCTCTCCTTGTACAACATTGTGTGGAAGCCGTGGCTGCAGCCGTGCTGTGGGACGTTCCCATTCTGTTGGTGTGATAAGGAAGGTGACAGCACGCAAAGTTTGTGAGATGGATGCCTACTAATGTGTCCTGTGGCACTGAGTCCTCTGCTGACAAAGCTTTTGGGATAATAACTGTGTCCTTTCTCTCTCTGGGAAGCAAAGTGGATGAAAATAAAGAAAAGGAATGTTGATCAGAGATTTTCCACTTCATTCTTCACCACTAGCCAAAGGCCTATGGACATCCTCTCTGGTGTGGTAAAGGGCTTGAATGGAGACTGGGTTTGCAGATTTGCATGTAAGAGACGACTGTAGTGGTATATGCATAAGCTCTGCCTAATTTATGCCTGCTCAAGGAAGACAGTTGGAGAACTCTGCAGAGAGCCTAGTGTATGGTGCTGAGAAGGCAGCAGTAAGAAATACCAGACTTAGGCAGAGCTCTAGATGTTCACAGTTGTGCCCGTGTAGTCCATAAATCATGCTCATACTCTATCCAAACATAATAGTTGCTTCCTGTGCTTCTCTGTTATCTCTGCAGTAATCTTGTTGAGATGTTGAGCGACACCTGAGACAGAATGAATCTGATCTAGTGAGGGACCATCCTCAAGTTGTGAATAGCTTTTTGAATGGATCTGCAGCTTTAGCTGGGTAACAATAACATATCACAAACAGTACAAAGTACAAAATGCTGAAGTCCAGTATAACTCAGCAACAGTTACCAAAGAGAGGAGCATTTTGCTCTTCAGAAAGAGGTCCTGGTACATACTAATTTGGCAAACAGCAGTTTTATTGAATATAAGATGCCAATAAAAATGTTTTGGATTAATAGCTTACACTGACGCTGTTTCAGTGTCAGTTCCAGAAAAACAAGGTTCATTTGAGGGTCATATTGAAATTAATACTCAAAAATATTTGGTAGCAGTATGCATAGGTTTACAAACTGCAACTTGTAAAAAGGGGTCTTGCCTATACTAATTAAAAACCCCTCCTCCCCTGAAAAAAAAACAAACAAAAAAACCCAAACCAAAACCCACTGAACAAAACCCAAGCAAACAAAACAAAACTCCTGCAGTGGTGTGACCCTAGCCAGACTTTCTAAGGACACATGGCTTTGCACTGAAGTTTGCAGTGAAATTGCAGAGGGATTAGGGCTTTGAATTATCTTAACAACTGGGTTTTTGCAGGAGTGGATGAAGTCAGAGTTTATTATAAGCATGCTGCTAGAACTCTGAAACACTTGGGCATTGAAGTGAGTAAATGGAAACAGATTATTTTAGTTTGTTTTTTGTTGTCATCGTCCTGTGTCCCCCTGTCTCCCCGCAAGGAACACCACTGCAAACGTTTAACTCACTCAGGCAGTTTAGTTGATTAATGATTTTCTTCTTATCTCTTAGTCTTTTTTTCATGTGACATAGAAACAATTTTACAAATTTCTCTTTATGCCATTTCAACATTTATGTTCTTCACTCCTAAAAATTCACTCTGAAAACTTGTCAAAGGTTGAAGGGATGATATGAATGCCAGTGTTTGCTTTTAGAACTCGGGCATGGGCGAAAAGCCAGATAGAAAGTGGCAGTATATAAAGGACACAATGACTCAGAAATCAAGTTTTTGCTGGCAGAGAATTTGCCTGTATGCAGCACTGAGTAAACAGCAGCTTCCTGTGCTCAGGCACAGTGAAAAACCGGTGAGCTGAAGAGGAGGAAATACTGCAGGGCTCGAAATGCAGATAAAAAAAATGGTCTTGTTTCTGCTTCATTGTTACAAAGGTCTTTTTCTTAAAAAAAAAAAAAAAAAAAAAAAAAAAATTAAAAAAAAAGGTTTGGTTTAAAGCTTTGTTCTGTTGAAGACAATAAGTAATGTCAGCTCTTTACCTCTGTATCAGGTCACTAATGTAGTAGTGAGGAACAGGATGCAAGGTCTGTGCTAGCAGAATGTCTCTTCTGCTTCTAAGTAGAGTCTTGTTGTCAGGGGAAAATTTAAAGGGGTTAGGGTTTGTTTTGGTTTGTTTTTTTAAGGCATGCCAGCAGCAGCATGGGCACATCTTTACTTGTGATCACACGGTGAGAAAGATGTAAACAGTCCAGAAAGGCTGAAAGAAAAGTTTAGTCATAATTTGGACCAAACCCAGGTGGAAATTAATACTTACATTATTAGCAACTTTTAAAGATCCATCTTTCCCAGGGCATGATGTAATTTGAGAAATATAATTTTTGTCAAGAAAAATCTTTGCACCAGAAGCATCACAAGCTGTTAAGTAATCACACAAAATAAGTAATATAGTCAAATAGGTATGAGTAAAAGTAGCCCAATTTGAAAACTTATAGCTTATAAAAAAACCTGAGTATAGTCATAAGTGCAAGAGGTCAACAAATAAAAAACTGCTTCCAGCCATGTTTCTCCCTGCCACGTATTATATGAATCTGATAGCTTAAGCTGCTTCGTCTTTCTGCCTCACTGACTCCTGCTGACTTCTCTGGAACACAGTGTTAAATTCAGCATTCACTGTATTCAAGTAACTGAAATGTCAACAAACAAATAGATGACAGCTCCTGGAAATAATTGCTTAAAACCTTTTGAAGGGTAAAGTGCATTATCACAGTGTTAAGTTCTGGAAGGAGGGGGTGGGGGGAGGGGGCGAATACTAAACTTTCTGTTCTTGGGGGGAGGAGGATGACAATGCAATTGATATCTTCAGCACAGGTAGATCTATCTTTCTGGAAAATGCAAGGAGGAGGCAAAGACAACACAACAGAAGAAAAGAGGGAGGACAAACTAGCCCTGTTATCCTGCCTGGAAGGCTGGAAGAGTGGGGTGGGAGAAAGAAAACCCCAGGGCTCCAAGTGCTGTGTTGTTATTACAGCATCTGTTTATGAGGGACTGAAATAGAACAGAGACAGGCTTTATACAAATCTGCACAGAATTAACCGGCCAGGGAATCTAGAAAAGTAGCCATGTTGTGCCAGTAGTTCAAGAATAAGGACTTTGTACTCTGCCTGGAATTCATGGGAAACCTGCACGGTGGTTCCAGTTTGCTGGTGGTTGCTGGCGGGGATCCCAGGCGGTTTCTGTGCTGGAGACCGGGGGAAGGGAGAGTAAGAGGAAAAGGAGCAAGTCCCAGCCTGCTTCCTCCCCTGCACGTCTTAGAGGATCAGGACTGCTCAGCACACCAAGGAGCAAGAGGGATTTCAGAGCAAGAAGAATAATTGAGATGAGGGTTTGCTTTCTGCATTGTTAAAAGGGCTTGGCCTTTTTTATTAGTCGTGATCATTTATTGTAGCATACTCGCTTAAGGAGGGAATTACTGTCTGATGTTTTCTCATATTTCTCTGAGTAACTCTGCTGATTTCTAGAGGCTGATGTTAGATTTATGGATTAAGTTGGTCTTTTCATTTAACAGCTAAGGAAACTGGACAAGCCCTGGGGCCCAGTACTGGGTTCATGATGCTCCCGGCGATGTCACTGAGAGCTC